GGGAGGTTGGCGGCTACAGCGGACATTTGCGAAGTGGGGTCCTTAGATTTAGTCGACCCCTTTGATTTTTCTTTCTTCGCAGGTTTCGCAGCTGGGGCTGTCTTAGGGGCAGACTTCTTCTTTGGAGCGGACGACTTCTTGGTCATTTTCTCAGCAGGTATGTCTGCCGCTTTGGTGGTTAAAGACTAGGCTGCCGAGCCTTCCGTATAGGAAGTAGAGGAAGAAGCAGGGAGCTCCATAGAGGATGGTGTAGAGGCAGAAAGAGCGGTGTTCCACAGGTGTAATTTTAGTCGCTGCTGCCTCGCCTTCAAGGAGGCCCTAGTAAATGCCTGGCAATGCTCGCAGTTTTGGGGAGAATGGGATTTCCCTAAACAAAAAAGGCAAGTATCGTGTCCGTCCTGGAACGGGATCTTAGCAGAGCAACGGACACACCGACCAAAAGGACCAGAGGGTAGAGGCGGCATAGACACCCTAGGGAAAAACGGCCGGTAAAAAGGGCGGGAAAAGGGTAACGACTCACAAGTGAGTCGAGGAAAAACCGTAGGCACCAGAAAGAAATCGTAAGGCTTAAAGAAGGTCCGTAACAGTCCAAGGTCAAAATCCAAGCAGACAATCCGAGAAAAGACAACAGAACAAGCGAAAATAGCAAGAGCTCAAGCCGAAAGAACCACTTCACACGGCGGAGAAATGGAACTGAGGTTGGAGCGGGCGGAGCATGCGCAGTATAGGCACTCCTAATTATGTTTCTTTTACAGAGCTCGAGAACGTTCCGAGGGACCCGCGCAGGCGCTGACTTAACTTTAGTATGTGTGCATTCACAGAAGACCACGCTGAAGAACTTGTTTTTAATAGGGATTCGAACTTGAGGCTTGGGACTCGGTACTAAAGACTTGAACTAGGGACTTGGACCCAAACACTTGCCAACATCCCTGCTATTGAAGGTTTTAAGCCTCTTCATATTAAAAAATCAACCCTTCCTCTTTCACCAGCACTGCCTGTCCTGCAATTTTTTTTTTACTCTGTCTACAGATTCAGGGAAGCATAACACTTCCTGGAAACTTCAGCTGACATCCTGCAACCTAACAATCATATGAATCTGCTGGATTTTTCTTTGGGAATTTCGTACACCCGTGTGCTTTGATTTAATGACAAGAATTGTGGTGTTTAGCATAGTACAGTAAGTCATAACTAGAGTAGGCCCATTGACTCAATAGGGATTTGGTGAGCCTACACTGTAATGCCATTATCAGGCTTGTGACCTACTAACAACAGGGCATCATCCAGCCTCTTTTAGGGAGGTTTTAGAATAAGGACACAGATGTTGCAGTCAGAGTAAATAGTGCGGGGCAACAGACCAATAGACTGATTGGTTTTGCTTGGTCATCTTGCCCTTCTGATTTTCTGTAAACGATTGTGTATAGAACATTGTCCTTAGGTCACTTCCTCCTAATAACACTTTTCCCTTCAAGAAAATATTTGTCTGAAATGGAAGACTAGCTGTTAATGATGCCACACTGGCCTCCAGAAAATTAGCACTTAGAGAAGCAAACGCTTGGCTCTTCAGTTCTCATGTTGGGTTGTTTTGTTTTGTATGCATTTTTGTAATCGTCATCGTTTAGTCGTTTCCGACTCTTTGTGACCCCATGGACCAGAGCACGCTAGGGCCTCCTATCTTCCACTGCCACCCGGAGTTGTGTCAAATCAAATCTGGTAGCTTTGATGACACTGTCCAACCATCTCATCCTCTGTTGTCCCCTTCTCCTCTTGCCTTCACACTTTCCTAACATCAAGGTCTTTTCCAGGGAGTCTTCTCTTCTCATGAGATGGCCAAAGTATTGGAGCCTCAGCTTCAGGATCTGTTCTTCCAGTGAGCACTCAGGCTTGATTTCCTTTAGAATTGATAGGTTTGTTCTCCTTGCAGTCCAGGCGACTCTCAAGAGCCTCCTCCAGCACCACAATTCAAAAGCATCAATTCTTCAGCGGACAGCTTTCTTTATGGTCCAGCTCTCACTTCCATACGTCACAACAGGAAAAACCATAGCTTTGACTATGCGGACTTTTGTTGGCAAGGTGATGTCTCTGCTTTTTAGGATGCTGTCAAGGTTTGTCATCGCTTTCCTCCCAAGAAGCAGGCGTCTTTTAATTTCGTGGCTGCTGTCTCCATCTGCAGTGATTATGGAGCCCAAGAAAGTAAAATTTGTCACTGCCTCCATATCTTCCCCTTCTATTTCCCAGGAGGTGATGGGACCAGTGGCCATGATCTTAGTTTTTTTGATGTTGAGTTTCAGACCGTTTTTTGCACTCTCCTCTTTCACCCTCATTACAAGGTTCCTTAATTCCTCCTCATGTTCTGCCATCAGAATGGTATCATCTGCATATCGGAGGTTGTTGATATTTCTTCCGGCAAGTGATTCCTCCAGTCCAGCCTTTTGCATTATGTATTCCACATATAAATTGAATAAGCAGGGGGACAATATACAGCCTTGTCATACTCCTTTCCCAATTTTGAAACAATCAGTTGTTCCATATCCAGTTCTAACTGTTGCTTCCTGTCCCACGTAATAGCAATACTGTAAACAGATCCCCACCCCTTTTTATTTTATCTTGGCTAATTATTCTTTACCAACTTTCTGCACTCTTAACACAATCATCACAACTCCTTACAAAAGTAAATCCCTTTTACAGCTCAGGATCTTTGCGGATCTGTGGCTGAGATTGAATTTCTTATACTGTGGATGTGCTAAATACAGAATCCTTGTTTTTATGGTTCAGATTGAATGTACATATATATATTCTATGATTTGACTTTTGTTTTAAGTGAATTCTAAGCAAATATGAGGATCTATGCCTTGCATCCATGTTTTCTATGGTAGACAAGGACTCTTTTTTATGATTGAAACTGTGCAAAAGTGTTATGTGATTAGGACTGTTTTTCAAAACAGATGTTTGATTTGATGGTTTGGAGAGTATCCTTTTTAAAAATCATAGGAAAACAGGAGGATCTGTTAGTTGAAGGATCTAACTGACTTGTTCTGCTCACATCATACCTGTTGTATTATTTACACAGGCATAAGCAAGTCCCAGTGGCTGATGGAGGCTTATCAATTAGATGTGTTGTCATGCAACTGGTACCTCATTAATTAGCTTCAATCAGATGCTGTGGCTTCTGTGTTTTTGCTTGTTAGTGCATTAAAAAACAGTTCTCTGATCAGGATTGTTTCCTTTACAACAATGAAGAAGAAACAGTTAATTTCTTTGGCATAATTTTCTTTGCAAAGTTTAGCATTTGTTGAATTGTCACCCAGTCCTGCATATGGGAGTGTGTACCATGGGGGATCTGTATTGTGGCAACGATTCTTCTGCTTTTCATAGTTTCTACCCAAATTATGGCACTCTTGTTATGATTGGTTCTCATCAGATATTTCGGGCCAACTCCCCAAATGTCTGGCCATTAAAGGTAAAAGTTCCCCTTGACATTTAGTCCAGTCGTGTCCGACTCTAGGGCGTGGTGCTCATCCCCATTTCCAAGCCATAGAGCCAGCATTTGTCCGTAGACATTTTCCGTGGTCACATGGCCAGGGCAACTAGACACGGAACACTGTTACCTTCCCATCATGGTGGTGCCTATTTATCTACTTGCATTTGCATGCTTTCGAACTGCTAGGTTGGCAGGAGCTGGGACAAGCAACGGGAGCTCACTCAGTTGCATGGATTCGAACTTACAACTGTGAATCTTCTGACCTTGCAGCAGAGAGGCTTCTGCGGTTTAACCCGCAGCACCACTACGTCTCTGGCCATTAGCTATGCTGACTTATTGCTTCTGGGAGCTAGTGAATAGGCTAAAGGTTGAGAACTAGTTTATTTATTTATTTAACTTACATGCTGCCCAAAACTTTTTTCTGCAAAATACATGTGGTCTCCTGAGAAGCTACACTTGCTGCATATTTAGATGTCTTCATATAGTAATACTGAAAAGCGTGGACAATGAATTGAAAGTGTAATGGATAATGAGGTAATTGCTTGCCAGTTATTTTGAATTGCAATGCAGATAAAACATCTCAACTAGAGATGAGCAAAAACTGCTGGTTTGATGGTTCATGCCAGTTTGTTTCACAGTTGAACAGGTGTTCAGTGCTTCAAAGCCCCACCTCCTCCAACTGGGGCGGGGGTCCATTCAGAGGCAGTGGCTGGAGAGGGCAGGGCAGGGAAGCCAGATTGCTGCCCCTGAGTAGGGGCCTCACTGGAGGGGGAGGGGCTTTGAAGTGCCAAACACTTGCTCAGCTGAGAAATGAACTGGCACAAACTCTAATCTCAAAGCCAAAAAAGATGACACAAAACATAGTGCCATAAACATGAGCAAGGGACACAGTTATGGTCATCACTCTAATTAATCACACAAACACTTTTTATACAAAGATGCTCAATCCAGACACTTAACAGCATCAGTCTTTGGTAGCTACTTTATTTTTTATAAAGAAAAAATACAAAATATTTTTTTACACATTTGCAAAATTAGCAATGGTTTCTAAGTTAACATTCTAATGGGACCAATTCATATCTTGCTCTTGCTACCAGAACAAAATACTAGTCCTACTGACATCAGAATAAAGTCATCCTCCACAGACTACTTTCCAAGGAAAAGTATGGTCCCTGCTCACACAATCTGTCTGATCCCTTTATTTTCCAAGTTCTGTGAGCATGGTAGGTGACGTTGGTCCAAAAGTATAACTTTCTGGGTACAATGTAAAAATGCTAAAAATTTATAACAGACTTGTAAGCTAAGTTGATACCAAAAAGGGACTGCCAATAGACTGCAGGGGGGAAAATAAACACAAGAAACAGAAACAAGAAAAACATCTTTCCCCAGCCCTTCAGAACAGTGTAAGTGGATGTGAAATGATTCATACCACTACACTTGTTACTTATAAAGCACATAGAAAGCACAGCAGCAGGAAAACATGGCTAGTCAAAGTCATTTTTAGCAACAGCTGAGAGTTGTAGACTCTGCATTGCCTTTACCCTGAGAGAGAAGTTATATAAAATTTATTTTGGTTAACATATTTTAAAATGTCACTATATATCTCTGTGGTTTCCAAACAGGAAAAGAATGGTGTATTCCTTCACATTTGCTGCACCGGATGTACACTGGTTTAAAGTGGTTCTTTTCCTTCCATCTTTAAAACACAGTGCTGTTCCTTCAGAAGCTAGTGAATGTGCTGGTATTCAGTCACTAGATCAACACAATGGTTCTAAGTGAAATTAAATGTTATTGTCTGAAGGAACTGCTATTTGGTTCTATAAATCTAACACATGTTGCTGCTTCCTTGGTTGCTCAACGAATGTAATGCACATCATTTTTTTCCTCCTTAAATACATGATTAGTGTCAACCAGTACGATTTAAGGTCTGGAGTTTAAATAAGGAAAATGATTCTGTAAGTATGTTATCTCCATTGCCCGACCTCTTCTAGGTACTGGTGGGCATAGCCTGCATCACGCGAATCTTCGTTTGAGTACCACTGAGAGAGCATGGGGTGGAGAGTGCCCGCAAGGAGACACTCTGGGGCAGTATTGATGTGTTTTGCCTTAAGGAAAACAGCCTGGACAAGGGCATCTGCCTACTACACCTGTTTATGTTTAAATGGCAAGTTACTGGTATGTTTGAAGACACCCACCTGAGCAGATTGCTTTATTAAGCATAAACACACCTTGTTCAGGTGCACTGATGCAGTGAAACAGATAAACAGTGTTAAAACAAAATACTTCCACTGATAGAGAAAGGCCGCTTTGGTAGGAGGTCTATCAAGCTTGAGGGAAGGAAAAATAGTTGCATTTTCTAGGGGGAAAAAGCAGTATCTTGGCTTCTTCAGAAAAAAATCCTTCATTTTCTAAGGCAGAAGTACTGTTTGTGCATGACGGTTTATTCTTAATATAGTGCAATGACAAGGTATCCTTGAGTTAATCTTTTTGGTGCCATAGTTTGTTTTTGTCAGTGCAAGAAAAACAAGGCATAGATCCAAGGCTTTGCTCCTCAATAAAGTTTTTAGAGGAGGAGAAGAGAAGAAAGGCAGCCTCTGGTAATCTCTGGGTGACATTAAGGAAGCCTCTGATCCCATTTAAGAGCAGCAGCGACTTTCCAAGCAGCAACGCACTGGGAGAGCTGGATCTCATCGGGGAAGGCATCCTCTAATTCCTCCGGCACATGGCTCTCTTTCCTCTCCAGATATGAAATAAGAGTATCTTTAAGGCTGGGGAAAAAAAGAGAACAAATAATTCAATGCATGTGGCAAAATAGGGAGTGTTTTGTCAAGAGGACAGAGCCATCTCCAGATGAAGAAAACAGTCAGTCCATGTGTGAGAGACCTGGATGAGGGTTTGTGTGTTTTCGTTTGTTTTTTTTTTAACAAGCAAGCTCTCACCTCCATGTGGGGTTGAACTCTTCCCCAGCCTGGGCAGGTTTCAGCTTCAGAATGATCATTTCGTGCAATTCCTGGAGGAAGGATTCCAGTCCACCTTGGATGAGGAATGCATTGAGGAGTCTGGTGTGTTCTGGAGTTAGCTCCTCTTTGTAAGCTGCCATGACGTCTGCAAAGGGATCCTGGGAGGTGCAGAGGGGAGAGCAGACAATTAGGGGGAAGAACAGAAAACACTTGCCAGAAGCCTCCAGTTACTCCCACCCTTTTCCCACTTCCTACCCTCTTCAGATGCAGCAGATGTTCAGATTTATGGCTAGAAAGGAGCTGCCACAATGCAGTGGTGTGCTTCAGGTGACATCGACTCAACACCTGAAAGACAGAAGAAAAAATACAGCCATTTGACTCTTCTAAGAAGAAAGGATTATTACTGTCATCCAGACTCTGAACTGTAACTAGAAAGATCACAGTAAGAGTTATTTCAATGGACTGGGATGGGGAGCAGAATACATCTCTCTCTCTTTCTCTCTCTCTTTCTCTCTCTCTCTCTGTGTGTGTGTTGTGAGACAGAGAGAGAGAGCTCATTGGGGGCAATCCAGTGGGTCAGATGCTGGAGAGCGAATCCCCTGCTCCGAAAGCATCTCCACCTCATTTATCAAGTCTTACCCTGACTCCCATTTCATTTTTATTCTGCAGAGACACAGATGGGGCTCTGTGCCTCTTTCTGGACACAGAAAGGAACCTGGAGCTGTTTCTCCAAACCATGATTATTGGGAAGCATGTTAGTGCTAATGCTGGGATATGGGGCCGAGGCAGAAGGGATACCTCCAAACTGCAGGTCCTGTTCCCTTCATAAGATGAGGCACAAACATTTCTTATACATGTCTTTTAGAGATAATGAACAATATCCAGTTTCGTATATACATGCACACAGCAATCTAGCCGCGGAAGCTGCTGTGGCAATCTGACAAGGTGCACATAAACATGCACATGGCTAACACATCCATGCTTGTAAATATTGAACAGGATACCAGCCATTGAAACAATCTATAGAAACACTATCTGAGGATTAAATTTTGTATTTAATGTTTTGCTTTTGTTTTTCCTACCCTTCTTTTTCTTTAAGTATTATGTGTAATATGGTACCTAATACTGTTTATCTATATTTAGAAGGAAACATTAAAAGCCTCATAACCCCTCCAATCATGTACTGATCCAAGACCTTCTGAAAGTGTCGTCTACTACTATGCAACTGTACAAATGCAGCCTAGCTTACAGCTCTACTAGGGCATGTTCATGACTCTACACCGAAGGTCGTCTCCCAGCAACGTTTCAAGGGGTTCTGAATGGCATCTTCTGGGTTCCACAATGCCTCCTAGGCAGTACAATGTCTCGGTCCTGCTATGGAGAGTTGGGTGGATTCCTATGTGCTCTATTGTGTTCTTGGACTGCAACCCTCAGAATTCTCCAAGGATTCCGCAAGCAGAATTCCAGGAGTTCCAGCCCCCAAACACAAATCTACAGAGATCTAGATTCTGCCCCCACCCCTTGAGAAGGGCTTTGGGGTTATTTACCTCCAGTATGGAGCTCACTGGCTGCCTTTTGTCTTGTGGTTTTTAATTAAAAAAAGAAAGTAAGCTGCCATGGTGCTTTCTGGGAACCATCAGTTTTCAGAAGGTGTTTACAGAGTCTACAGAGCAGCAAGATTTCAATTCCTGGAGATCTGACTAGTTAGTTGTATGCCAGCAGGGGTGGTTGACTGGCCAGGGAGATAGAATGCTGGGAGTTGTAGTCTTACTGCCCATTAGGCTCTGAAGAGCTGCAACTCCTGGAATGGAGGAAGGGAGGGGAAATGTTGTCAGCATTGGAGAATAACCCCAAAGACCTTTGCCGGGGGTGTGTGAAATTGAGTAGGTTGTGTCTGGGGGTTGGAACTCTTAGAATTCTGCAAGGGGAATTCTGAGGGCTGGAGTCCAAAAATATAAAATTGGACATCCCTAAGTGTGGACTTCAGGTGGCTGCAAAACTAATCTAGCTACAGAATGGCAGCTACCTTTTCGTTACAAAAACACATGCAGGACAAACTCGAACAAGCAGAAAGCCATAAGCAGGAACACAGGAGTTAATGCAGCACTTTGGAGACCCTCCAAATATTCCCAGAACATAGCACCTTTATGGGCATGGCTCCCCTATTCTAATTCTAAGGTCAAGGGGAAAGTCAATGTTCACAACAGCCAGCTGGGGAGTGGCAAGAAACTTGCTACGGCGAAAAGAACAGGAACACACAGAATTTCTCCCTTGGCTTGGAAAATGTTTTTTAAAGCTTTAGCTTGGCTCTTTCATAGAACCTTCATCTCTTGTACTTACCTTGAGTATATGAGCACTTGTCTGGCTGCCCATTTTCAGAGTATCTTCAACATATTTAGCCAAAGTCACCTCAGGCTCCCCACCAGCCATAGCCAGGAATCCTAAAGTGATTTCAGTGACATACAGAGCTTCACAGATGTCGCTGTAAGAGTGCAATTCCCCACTGATCATGCTAATTGTGGAATTTGGAAGGGAGGTCTGTAATTCAAGGGGATAAAAACAGTATGAGTATTCTTCACCATTGCCTTTTGCTGAAAAGGAACAGCACGTATGCCAATCTTTGATGATATGAGAACTAAACAAAAAATCTAGCACAGAGGTAGCTATGTTAGCATGTGCTAGCAGGCAAAAGAACAAGAAAAAGAAAAAATAAAGAAGACAAAAACATGGCACCTTAAAGACAAACTGCTATATTTTAATGTGAACTTTTATGGATAAGTCTGAGGAAGTGGACTTGTCCCCAAAAGTTGGCGTTAAAATATAGCAGTTCGCCTTTAAAATTTAGGACAAGTTATTCACATCATGCTAAATCCCTGTTCATACCCTGTTTTGTGTGCGATAAAGTAAAGCTACAAAGGCTGTGTCGGATCTTGACTACCTATTCACTTAAGACTGTGAACATCTGCAAATACTGTAGAGTCCACTGAGTTCCACAGGATTTACTACAAAAATAAACAGAATGTGGCTAATCAGAGTGCAAGAGTCTTAAAATTCAACAAGATTTTAATGGATGGAACTCAGCTGTTTCCTTCTGTTCTTTCTTCCTCTTATCACAGAAGCTCACCTGGTCCAGATTGTTCTTGATATCTTTGAAGATATGCTCATAATTCCGATCGTGCCTATACACCAGAGTGGGAATGCCCTGTTAAAGAAGAGAGGGGGGAACAATTATGCCCAATGAGTGGATGTCTACAGGCTTGCACGTGGCTGAGAGTTTGGTCACTTTGGCTGGGAGTTGCCACAAAAGCCAACCAGCAGCATTGGGTTCTGAGGAGACGTACCGTCAAGGTGATTAAGGGTTTCCCTTGTAGGAATCGGTTGATGACTTGCTGCTGGATTTTTTCCAAGTCCAATTCCTGAAGAGCCTCCCTTCCTTTCTCTACACTGTACTGGCAGTTGGATAGAATCAGTGGGATCAAGTCCCTCTCCACCTCATATGTGATCACATGGAGATCGGCCACTTCTGTAGGGCTGACAGAATATCTGTACAGAGAGGGAGAGAGAGAGAAAGAAAAAGAGAGAGTGAAAAAGAGAAATCCTGATTCACTGCCAGTTTGGCAACAATAAGACCATCTGGCAACTGCAGGAAGATGTGGGGAGCCGAACAGATGCTAGAGGCAGACATACCTTTTGGCCTCTGTTGTGTAGTTTAATATGGTATAGACAAAGTCATTGTGGAGGCTGATGAGGTAACTGGCCAAGGCTGTGGAGCACAGGCCAAGACCTCGCCGGCGAGGCAGAAGGACCTCAAACTCAGTCGCCAGAGAGAGGTCGTCATCACAATACCCTCTGGGCAGTTTGATTTCACCTGCGTTGGGATAAAGACACATTTGTGAGCAGCAGACCCTGCCTGACTGGTAGATCCCCCCCCTTTCCACTTGGGTCATTAGTGGGTTATGAACTAATCCTCATTTGCTCCCATCAATGGCAGAATATTTTCTGAAGGTTAGAATAGGAAGAGATATGATGTGCATTCTGAATGAAAGAATGTGTCATATTATACTTGCCAACTAATCCTGCACATGGAAAGGATGAAGTGTTCCAAAAAGAGGGAACACTGGACAAAATGACTTTTCCAGTCACTGCAAAAAGGTATAAGCCTCATGACACATTGGTTAAGCTGCAGTACTACTGTCAAAACCCTGCTCATGACCAGGGTTTAAGCCCCGGTAGCTAGAAGTTCACTCAGCCTTCCATCCTTCCAAGGTTGGTAAAATGGGTACCAGCTCACCGGTGTGTGTGTGCATGTGTAGCCGACATAATTACATTATAAGCCCCCCAGAGAGTGCTTTAAGCACTGTGGGGTGGTATATAAGCAGCACACTTCTGGCTTTGCTTTTTCTAGTCCACAGGAGATAAACCTAGAGAATGTTTCTTCCAGCATTAAAAAAGGGTGGGTGTTGGTGTGTACGTGTGTGAAGAGGGAAGTCTGGACTAACAGAAGTATCTAAAAAGAGGGAACCCTCTGTAAGTGGACACCACAGAAGCATCTCAATCTTGCCATTGTAGTTAAGAAACAGTGTGAAGGAAGCCACTCACCATTGTTTTCCAAGGATGATTTCAGTTTGTTCCACACGTCCAGAAATATGTTTACTCTCTTTACAGTCAGATGTCTCAGGCCTCCTGCATGTAAAAAAAACCCAACATAGTGTGACACACTGACCAGAATCCTATTGGGATTTTATTCTGGAGTAAGTGAAATTGTATAAATCATGGCTTATACAAACTGCAGCTAATTAATGAGAGATGCTGGTCATGTTGATGATGGCATGCCGTAACTTATGTAACATCGCTTACTCCAGAGTAAAATCCCAACAGGATTCCACCCATATTGCAAAGTTCTATAACCCAATTCAGCAAGTTTTGGTTTAAAGAGCTTTAAATACCGAGAAACAACTAGTTATAAATAATGAATAATTTTTGTTGTTGTTTAGCTGTTAATCTGTGTCCAACTCTTCGTGACCCCATGGACCAGAGCACGCCAGGCCCTCCTGTCTTCCACTGCCTCCCGGAGTTGGGTTAAATTCATGTTGGTTGCTTCGATGACACTGTCCAACCATCTCATCCTCTGTCGTTCCCTTCTCCTTCTCCTCTTGCCTTCATATGGGTACCCAGCTCACAACTAATGAATACTTGTGCTAATTATTTTTTTCTTATCCCAGTATCTTGACCAGTGACTACAGTACATGTTGATTGTAACATAGTATGGACAAAAGTTCCACATTTTGCAATATAGCTATAAACTTTTAAATATTGTTATACCTCTGGGATAGAGGGGGTTCTTACCAAATGGTCTTATGTGCTGCCTCATGCTCTGTGTGTCTGGCTAATCAATTAAAAAAACATATGAATGCTTTGGAAAAGTAAGTGAAAAGTTTTAGTTACTTTTGAGAAACAAAGATGTTTCATTTTAACAACTACAACTAATTATAGTAATTAGTTAATTCTGGAGGGGGGAGCTTTGCTGCTGTGCCCTGCTTCTCACAGCAGCCAGCCAGAGGCCTCCAGGAAGCAGGGGCACAAAAGGGGATAAATCCTCTAATGAAGTTCTCCCCAGCCTTCAGATTCAGGCTAGCGTAAGAAAATCTACTTTCTTACTATTGCAAATTTCCTAATAAAAATAGACATTAAGTATTAAGTTCCTATCAAAAGGTCTTATCACAATGCAGGGGTGGGAAAGTCTTAGGCTTAGAGGGTCAAATTCAAGCCCCTAGCCTTCACTGCCAGCTGTAAATGGCCAAAACCAGCTATAAAAATATCAACCAAAAAGTGCCTTGATAGTTACTTCTTTTGCAAAAAACAATACATTACATGCACACACACACACACACACACACACAGAGGGAGATCTGGGGTGCCCCTGAGGGGCTGCATGTGCCCATGGGCTACCTTTTGCCCTCTCTTGGCTCAGTGTCTAAATGCTATCAATGAGAATGCAAGATGAATCTCAATTTTCTGTAGCCAAGCCATTTCATCACTGTGGGCAGTGAATTTTGTAACTTAGTTATGCATGAATTGAAACCTATAACGGGGGAAATTATACTGACTGGTCACATGGTACTTGATTAAGACTGCTCTTATTGCTAAAACTGTATGCTTTACCAACTTTGGGCATAATCTAATCAGTCCTAAGCATTCCTACGTTTTGCTGACTACAATGATAGAGCTTCAAGATGCCCTTCATTTCTCCTTTGAAATACATTCCACCACCACCCCAAACGCTTAATTTTACTTGGAGTGTGTAGACCAGGGGTCGCCAACCCCCAAGTCCATGGTCCGGAGCCAGTCCGTGGGCTTGCCAAAACTGGGCCGCAAATACGATCTCCGGCCCCCCCGCATGCATGCTCAGTAGGCGTGCCATTGCTCATGTGGGGTGTGTCGCTTGCATGGGGGGGCATGTTGCACCCATGTTGCGCAAGTACGACACGCCCATCACACGAGTGTGACATGCCCCCGCTCCCCCAAGCATGGAGCTCACTCTCCCCAGCTGGCCCCAAAAAGGTTGGGGACCGTTGGTGTAGACTAGGTCTACCTAAATAGAACCTGCATTTGCTGTGATGATAGGCACTGAAAGAGAATGAAAGAAAATGCATATTATGCTATTTTCCCAAGCAATCCATTGAACTTTATATGACACTTGTGGTAACTATTAAGCCATATTTTTTTTCACAGGATCACACACACTCTATTCATGGCGGGCAGAAAGGTTTGCCTTGCAAGTGTTCAGTTCAGGGTCTTAATGGCATTTATACTCTGCTAACTGGACTTATAACATGGTAGGGTCTCACCTTCAGGCAGGCTGTTAACAAAATCTTTGATGGTGTGATGTTCTACCTCCGAAATATTCTGGAACTTCTTTACCAAGTCCTTCTGCAGGGCCAAAATATCAGGCAAAAACTTCACCAGCCTGAGTTCAGCTTCCTGGAAATAGAGTAGGACAAATCAGAAAGGAGAACTTGAAAGACTGCAGTAGAGCCAAAAGAGAAAAGACTCCTGCGGCTGAAGCTTTTGTGGCCAACAGCCCGCACAGAAACAAGAAGCAATTCATATATGGACAACTGGCTTCTTTGGTAGAAAGTCCATCCGTGTTTTACACAGATCATGGCTTCCTATCACGAATGTATCAACATCTGGGCAGAAAGGACATTTATTTTATTTTATTTTATTTTATTTTATTTATATCCTGCCTATCTGGTCGATTAAGACCACTCTTGGTAGCATTGTTACCAAGACATCTTAGAGAGAATTTCTGCTAAAGTGAATCACAGTGCCTTGCATAATTGTATCCCCCCTGTGTGGCTTCTCGTCTACTCTTTTGCATCTAAGGTACTCTTTCAATTTGCAACTCAGCAAAGACATTCTGATCTGTATTTTGTGGAATGTGGTCTTCAATGAGTGTATCTGGGTTATTTGTTTTTCCTCAGTACCAATCAGGAAGTATCACACAAGTATCTCTCTCCAATTCTGAAACAAAGGACAGGACTGGACTAAAATGACAGACTGAAGCAAATGCAACACTATGATTTAATATCCCCTTCCCTCCCAGGATGGAAGTGAGTCCAAATCTGATCAGAAACGTGGTCTAAAGCACAAATGGGAAAAGCGTGTTCTGAGGGCTACGTGCCCTGTTTGCACCCTCCAGCTCTCCCTTGACCCTTTCTTTTGCGATTAAAAAGATGGGAGCTGCAGTTTTTGAAAGGCCCCCAAGAGGCTTAATTCAACTTTTGATAAGATCACAGCCATTTAATACCTGAATTTTCAAAAATGGAAATGGACTTCTAGCCATTTGCTTTACATTTCTGATCCCCCTCCAAGGGAGTTAGTCTAAGCAATCAACTAACTCCTGTTAACAGCTGAACGCTTCCCTTCTGCTTAGTCACAGCTGCATATGTAGGAATAAAAGCTAGTCTAATCTAATTCTGCCCGCACTCAGCATTTTCAGGAGGCAGAGTTGATCTGAGCCTCTGGATAGCATAACCACAGACACCAACACAGGGCTACCCTATGTTTTAGCTGTGTTTTAATATTTCAAAGCATCTACAGGGTTTGATGCTTACTGATGTACTTCTGCATTTGACAAGTAGCTGACAGCAGAATTTCAGCTCTTAAGATCAAAGTCATCACATTTATAAATCAAAGGGGGAAAAAGAGAAAAGAGGATGCAAGGCTGTGTGTTGGACACTTGCTTTTGTGAATTATAAAAAGCAGCCTCCCCATGAGACCTTGTGCTGTGCAGGTTCTGACTCATGTATCTCAAGAGGAGGGCCCCTGGTGAAGATCTAGGCACGCTCACCTTTTGCAGAAACTTCCACAGGACAGGTACGGTATCTTTGCCGCCTTTTTGCTGGACCACATGGCCCAGGTACTCAACTGAAATCCTCTTTCTGCAACTCCACATCCTGGAGCAATGCACTAAGCTGTCTGGGGGCAGTCTAGACAGGAAGAGTGCAGGGTCCCCATATACAATTTTCACAATTGGGTTGGAAGAGATTCTCTCATCCTGGCTGATTTGTTGATTCAGTTCCAGGAGGGATTTATCCAGAAGCTGCAAGCAAAAGCAACAACACCAGGATACATTAATAAGTCACAATAAAAATTCTCCCCTCTTTAAAACAAATACATTTTAAAACCCTTTAAGGCAACCTAGGAACTGGCGTATAAGGCTTCATCTTGGAACTGTTTGCTTTTACCTCTGTCATAAACAAATGGACTTTTGAATTTTTTCAGGAATTCCAAACACCCTTAGCTTTCAAAGGATGGAAGAACTTATTTCTTAAGAGGCATGGTTAAAAAATACTAGAATATAGGCAGATATTTGTGTGAGGCTTTAAAGGACATTATCTCTGAAGGAGAAGCATCTTTTTATCACATAGGAAATTCACTTGGAATGTCATTTGTGTCTATCTATATAAATGACAGGATTCCCAACATGGTGTAGTGGACAGAGTGAAAAGCCTAAGGCTCTAAGAACAGGGTTTAAATCCTCATTTGGCCATGGAAGCTGGTAAACTGGTAAAACCATTTCTTAAATATCTCACCTTGAAAGCCCTATTAGGGCCATTGCTATAAGTTGGTTCTGACTTGAGAGCGCAGAACACACACATATAAAAGACAGTTTCCAAGATTCTACTCTATTATCAAATCAATAAAACTGATCAAAAGAGAGGTAAACAAGGACTGTTCCAGTGTTTCCTATTAAATTATTTTTGATAACCTGGAACACTTGTTTTAGCAACCTCTGGCAGTCACACCACTTAACTAGGATTGCAAAAGGCAGGTTCAACCTTAAGAGTATTACTCTCAGCTATACAGCTTAACTATTTTTCATAGCTACCATTTGGTAATGTAAAAATAAAAATGCAATGGATGCACTTCGGTGCAAGGTCACATTGGTGTGGGGAAGTAAGTCTACATAGCAGCCATGGCGGTAGGTGATCCCACCCTCTAATGGCTGCAATGCCGGGAGGGATGTAATGCATTTGTAGCCAATTTCGTCAAACAGAATTAATTTCCTTGTGACCTGCTACTTTCTAAACCTTTGTCCTCGTAACTATCACAGAATTTAAAGGGAAGACTTTAAACAAGGCTTAAAAAACATAGGAAGAGCATTCTGTTCCCACAAAGGCCAACCGGATGATCCCGATGCAAACACCAGAACCAAAAGATGAGTACAAGGGCACTTTCCCATTTGTGTTTTCCAACAAATGGTGTTCACCAGAGGAAAACTACACCAAGGTAAGATGTAGCCACCGAGAGCCTTTGTCTTCAGTGAACTTGGCTCAGGGGCCAAGGATAATGTTGACAAAGCATTTTACATCTGGAGCGGACAGAATTCTACTAAAACTAATCCCAATGCTGTGCCACCAAGTCAATTCTGACTTATGGTGACCTTTTCCAGGATATAGATTACTCAGAAGCACTTTATCATTCTATTTTTCTCACATTTAGTCTGCATGCTCTTTAATGCCTTCAATTCTTTCTTTGATGAGTAGATTTTCAAAATGTATTTAGCCATGATTAATAACATGCCTAATTATTTCTTCTAGACCTAATGGATATGGTCTGTTTACAGGGCACTGGATGAAGGCTCTTGTCTCCTTTAAAAACACCTCACACTTAGCACTCACAAAATGGTTTATCTGGATATTCAGCTATGAGTTAACATATAAGCAGCTACAAAGATATGTGTGGTGTTCCCGTGGAAAGGACTTCATGCTTCTTCCTTGGCTTAGGGATGAGGCACACATACAGACTCAATGGGCTGCCTGGAGTTTGTCATGGAAAACAAAGATTTTTTTGTTTACCTCTAGCTGAGGAAGAACAATGGATTGAGCAACAATTTCTTCCCATTTGTTTCTGTATTCTTTGGTGGAAAGTTGGCCATCAAAGCCCACAGGCCCTGCAAAAGAAATGTTATTGAACATAGCACATGTTTTTCTTAACCCCTCTGATTGGAATAAGGTCACATGTCACTACAGTGGTGCCTCGCTTAACGAGCGCACCGTATAACGATGAATTCACATAGCGATCTCTTTTTTGAGATCGCTAATGCGATCGCATACTGATGGCCTCTATGGCCAAAACTCGCATTGCGAAGATCGGTAAGCGTTTCGCTTAACGATATTCGCATTGCGATGCCGGGAAATCAGCTGTTCGGTGGCTCCAAAATGGCCACCGGACGACCCAAAATGGCCGCCGCAACAATTTTCGCGCCCTGCCCTCGCTTACTGAGGGCGCGAAAATGGCGGTGCTATGAGGAAACTTCGCTTAACGGTGAGTATAGAAGCCACTGGAACGCATTAAACTAAGTTTAATGCATTCCAATGGCATTTTGCGTCCTGTTTAGCGATGTTTCCCCATAGCGATGGTTAATCCGGAACTGATTAACCTCACTATGCGGGACACCACTGTAATTTTATGGATATTATTGTATCCAATCTAGCTGCTTAGGCAAAGGGCTCAGAGCTCTGTATAAGCTAAAAGTCACGTTAATCACTGATACAGGAAGAAAGACACCAGCTTAAGCAATTAATTACAGTGGTGCCCCGCATAGCGACGATAATCCGTTCCAAAAAAATCATCGCTGTATGGATTCGTTGCTATGTGGGGCAAAAAAGCCCATAAGAACGCATTGAAACACGTTTAATGCGTTCCTATGGGGAAACAACTCACCGTTCAGCGAAAATCCTCCATGCGGCCGCCATTTTCACTGCCCGGTGAGCGAGGAAAGGGCGCAAAAACACTGCGGGTGGCCATTTTTTTAACCCGGTGGCCATTTTTGAACCACCAATCAGCTGTTTTTAAAACATTGCAATGTGAAAATCGGTAAGCAAAGCGCTTACCGATCATCGCAAAGTGATGTTTTGCCATTTAAAACATCGTTATGTGATGGCTTTTGCGATCGCAAAAACTCAATCGCTATGTGGATTCGTCGTTAAACAAATCGCTCGTTATGGGGGGCACCACTGTATTTTTGAAACAATGGCATGCTTAACATCCATTTTGAACCATTCACGCCGGTTCAAGTGGTATGATGGCTTGAACTGATGTGGCAAGGTTTGTATCTGTTGTATTTCAAGTCACAATCAAACATTACTACCAAAACACTAGCAGCAGGACTGGCCATTATTACATATTCCAACCACAGTCTTACAGAAAACAGTCAGTAATATGACATGTCCATTTCAGAAAACTGAGATTTGCATGTCCTATCAAAAATTCTATAATTAAAGAAGCATGACGAGCAAATGTGACTAACAGATGTGCTATCTACTCAAGAGATCTACTGTATGTTACTGGTTTCTTACACTACACAAGGACACTATATACTGTAAGCCCTTTTAATTATTACTGACTGTTACTGATACCACTACTTTAGACATATAAGGCTACTGTCTATGCTGTGGGTTATAGAACTAGTTTCAGGAAATATGAGCAACAACGTTTAACAAAACTATTTTCCTTACAGTGGCCTGCAGGATCTTTGAGAAGACTGCACAGAATGAGATGGATGACATTTGTGGTTTCATCAGCACTCTTCCCAAGAGTATTCATCAGTTGCTCCAAGTCCTTATGAATATGCTGCATGAGAAAGCTCACTGGATTCTGAACGTGTGGCTTTATGATCTGCAATAGGGACTTTTAAACAACAGGACAAAAAATTCAGAATAGCCAAAACACAGATCTATTGAGAAAGTGACAAAATTAATAGCCAGTCATCCAACTAGTTGAGGTCTGGTCTCTGGGCAAATCTGTTAAGTAGCCCCCATGTACAACAAGGTAAGGATAAATGAATTATTCACTGAAATCTTGGAAAAGACAGAACAGTTTGGATATGAATTGTTCACTGCAATGCCCATTACAGCACTGGTGATAAAGCCTTCAAGACTAACCTGAAGACATGTCATAGTTACTAACCATGTGACTGAACTGTACTGTTAGCACCTATAATTTGCTGATATTTTGTTGACTAGCGTAAGAAAATTTGTGTGGCCAAGAATTGCAACAAGGATTTTTTTATTTCTTGTTGGAATGGATTAAAAGCAATGCATGCCCCTAAACTAAGGAACAGGATTTTCAACTATAATCCCCTTTACATGATACTGGAAAGCTAAGTAGTTCCATTTTAGCAAGATACTTCAGCTCCTCTACTGCAATACATTCAAGTGGTTGCAAGTTTTTGTAAAAAAAAATACCTGGGGATCTTTGGCGGCTCCCAGAAATAAAGCCAAATGAGTGAGCAAGCGAATCAGGATTAGGACAGCTGGTGACATTTTCCTCTCAGATCCTGTCTTGGCTTCTCTTTTTGAAGGGTCTCCCAGCACATGGCCAGTTTGTGTTCTGTCCCTTATATTGTTTTTCCTGCATGGAAAACACATCATGAACATACACATTTGCTAAAAGTAGCTTCCAGCGCATCCAAGTGAATGAACTGCTGGACCCAGTATTTCCAACCAATAAGCAGAGGCCCAACCACTTGCAAGGTGAAGCTTCCCAGAGAGGCAAAGACTGATCCCAGAGGTTGGTAAAGCTGTGCCAAAAATTAAAGGAGGCTAGAAAGCATGTGGTTATATTTAAACGTGGTGGCGCTGCAGGCTAAACCGCAGAAGCCTTTGTGTGCTGCAAGGTCAGAAGACCAGCAGTCGCAAGATCGAATCCATGCGATGGAGTGAGCTCCCATCGCTTTGTCCCACCTCCTCACCAACCTAGCAGTTCAACCGCATGCAAATGCGAGTAGATAAATAGCTACCGCCTCGGTGGGAAGGTAAACAGCGTTCCGTGTATAGCCACACTGGCCACGTGACAACGGAAACTGTCTTCGGACAAACGCTGGCTCTATGGCTTGGAAACGGGGATGAGCACTGCCCCCCTAGAGTCGAACATGACTGACTAAAATGTCAAGGGGAACCTTTACCTTTACCTATACTTAAAAGTCTGATTATGGGCAACAGGAAGGCCATCTCAACACATAAGGCAGAAAGGTACTTTCAAGTGGAAGGGAAAGGGATAATAAGCTTTTGCCTTGGAAACATGGGATGAGTACCAGGTTAGGAGAGGGGGATTGTTAGGCAGGATGATGAGTAATAAACTTGAGAGGCATGTGAACTGAGTCTCATGCTGGAGTGGCACAAATGCAACTCTTCCCATGTTGACTCCTGCACTGAAGGGAAATCATGACCTGGATGAATGGATTCATAGGGAGTTGCAAGAATGTCCACAAAAGGATACAAAAGCTGTACAACTTTTTCAACTACATCTGATCTATAGCATGATGAAATGAAGAAAACCTTGTTCCTGGGATAAAGAAGCTTTCCTTAAAGCTCCTTCCTACTTGATGCCATTAAAGTTATATAACAGAAGCCAGGCTTCTGTACTCCAATTAGACAGACCTCCTCGAAGTAGAGACCCTTAAGAATCAGCCCGTGTTTCCTAACAGGACACCGGAGAGGTTAATTCATGGGTATCCCAGTGGAGTATTCTGACTTGAGCAATGACTCAGGAAAGTATTTGCATCTATCCAGAAGTTTTGGATATTATGGCTAAACACCTCTTTGGTCACGTTACTATAGAGGACATAGGTTGGTATTATTAGCTCTCCTGCTAGTATCAAAATCTTATCATCTCTAGATCTTTTTATGTTTCTTATTCAGAACAAAAAGGTGCTACAGTGGCAACAACAAAAATTATAAAATGCAAGCTATATGTATGCCTGAACAATAGCTACGCTTCTTGCAACTGTTTCATAAATAAACAACCTGCCCCACTGGGCTGGTTTGAACTACGTCCTTTGTTGGTTTTACGGTATTTACTTGATGTTAATGGTTTTTACGCTGGGGTTGATTTACTTGATTTTATCATTACATTTGGTTTTACTTGTTTTATTCTTTAAGAAATTTGTAAGACATCTCGAGTGGTGTTTTTTAGTTTAAAAAGCTGGGTATAAATGTAAGAAATAAAATAAAATATAATAAGTCTATCATCATTCTAGGAGGGTTAAACAAATACCTACAGTTCTTTATGAAAATTTGGCAGTGGCCTGTGATCACGGCCTCCTATTTCAACACCACAGTCAACACATCGAGATGTTTCCATAGGCTGGCCACACTGAAGAAAGAAAGAAAGAATAAGCACTGCAGGTCAGGAAATGAAATACAGCCTTCTAGGGCTTGTTTAGCCTCAAGCCCAATTGTCAGGTAACAAAGTCACTTCCCTCCCAAAACTTTTAAGTACTTGTATGGGAAAAAGTTAATATTCCTGATTTAGTTGGCCTGAATAGTAGGTTTTTTTAAAAAATTCTTTTTCTTTTAAAAAATTAATACAAACACATACAACTTACTATATAAAAACAAAATACAGGTGCACCCCCCCGGGACCATTATATCTTACATACTTTTATTTATAATCATAGTCTTCTTCCACCCGCAAAGGCCTTCCAAAAATACATATATTCATTGCCCGTTCCCCCCTTTCCTTTATGCAATACAGCTTTTATGAATTCTTCCCATCTATTAATCTTTATCTCTCCCCTTTTAAACTTAATTTCTGAAATGGTTCCAAAAACAGAAGTGTTATTGATGACAGAAAATTGTGATGTAATATAAAGAACGAAACTGTAATGAATTTGATAACCGCACCTCAATTGCTTATAGCGAAGAATTGGGATTTCCAGTTGCAGGAGTGGAACAATGAAATATAGCACTTAATGATAAGCTAGCCTGAATAGTAATTTTAAAGAAGATGTAATGTTTAAGAAGAACAAAGCACTGTGCAAAACATAGCACTGAGTTTAAACAAATACACTAGAAAACACGTTATGACCAAGAAATATTCCCACTTACCTCTCCAATAGTGCAGGGGTGCCCATTTGGACATGCTAATTTGAACAAGGAAAAAAAAAGAATCAGTGCAACAAAAAGGAACTGAGGGATTCTCCAAGATGGGCAGAACATGTGCACAGAGGGGGCTCCTCCTAGAGAACACGTTAAAGCTCTAGAATGTTCCAAGCACCCCAACACAGCCACAGAAATATGCAATTGTGTGCATTTACAGAGACCATGAAGAAGAACAAAGAATTCTGAGCTACAGAATTCATCCTTAGCTGTCAGACAGCTCATGATGTGTGGAGAGCTAGACCTGCAGCAGGTAGCGAAGTGCAGCAGGAAACAGAAAAGCAACCATCCAGTGGCTCTATGTCATTGTGCCTCTCCCTTAAACATTGCCAGGGAGAGAGAGGACGTGATTGCATGAGGATTTGTCCTGCAGTTTGGTCTGGCTTGAGGACAGGCTGGTCCACTCCTTCTTCTGAGGACCACATGATATATAGGTAATCACAAAATAACCCAGCCTTTATTCACGCCTACCAATACCTTTTGCGTTCCCGGTCAGCATGTGTGATTGCTGGGATAAAAATGAAGTAGACAGCTTAAGTTGTCATTCTGATTATATTGGGAAACTGAAAGGTTCTTTAAATCCCCCATGGAGGAGCAGAAAGACGATACAAAGCTTTTTGTACTTTTAAAAAGAGAGAACGGAATTAGCTGCTTGGCAAGCCAGTTAAGTGTGATGCCACTTAAGAAATAATTTTTAAAAATGAACGTTTCCTCCCCCTCCCCAACAGGACAAGGAAAGCGATTTTTTAAAAAAAATCCATATGGTCAAATAGGATCACCTGAAATGTGGTGTGGCATCCTCCCCCGAAACCACCTGACCTTTGCATGTAGGAATGCAAGGTCACCCCAAATGACATAGTGTACGTGCAGCTCAAAGTGACCCTGTTTAGGACAATTCAGCCCAGGCCAATTTGGTCACCTAGTAGCATCCTTAGATTGGAAGGACCCAGCTATCTACAGCAATGATTAGTATGACCAGTAGGCCTTCATAAATGGCATTACTATGTGGGCCTGGAACTGAACAGTGTTTTAATTCCCTAACCATTATCTATGTGGATCTTCTGTCCTTTTCACAGATTTCTCCTCATAAAAGTTTAATTTGTAGAATCCATTGGCAGAATCCTATGGCATATGTGCTCTTGTGTAAAGGAAATTGCATATTGCCAAAGTTGAATTTCTGGCCTGGGCACAGGCCTGATCAGCATACCTCTCCTTTGAAATGCAACCTCCAGCTCGTTAATGAATGACAATTTCTTAACAAGACTTACATGATTTTCCTACACAAGCTTAAATCTGCAATAGAATTCTGGCCACTCTATTAAGTGCTGAAAGTATTCAAATCTATTTTCACTACTCTTTCCAGTTTCTGGGAGGTGACACAACTATCAGCTTCATTTTTAAAAGGGTCTAAACAAATACTACATGATTTGTTATCTGATTCCAAAGAATATTTAAAAGTAGCAAATTCAATCTTCTTTACTGTCTGAAACATTTCCATTTTAAAGAAGCCACCACTAAAATGACGGGGTTTTTTTGCTTACACGCAATCTTGGGTAACAGTACTTACTATACCATTGAAGCCCTGCGGTTGCCTCCCAGCCCACAGCCTGAGCTAGCAAGTCTTCTGCCATTGTTGGCAGAAAAGCGTTCTAGAAGGGGAGAGAGAAATAATGAAAGTCAAAGAGGTGGCACCATAACATACACGGGCATCTTTTCTCGTGCCAAGATTGTTCTGACTGACCAAATGGACTAATACTCATCACCTACCATTAGAGAAACTCTTTTCCTCGTGTAACTAAAGATAAGGAAAGATTTGAGACTACAGGGCAGTGCCATTTACTTCAAATGGAAATACCTTTAAAGGAAAATGCAAGGAAAGCAGGGTCGGATTTAAAAAAACTGATAGGCATGCCAAAGGAAATTTCAGCATATTATTTATTTACCTGCATGGTGTTGGGCATGAATGCCAGATTCCTTAAAGGTTCCAGGATTCGATTCTCCCTAGACAGCAACACAGCTGCTGTGTGAATTGCCATTTCAATCACCACAGCTTTGTGACTGGAATCCTGGGGGCTCAGGGTCAGCGAAAGGAGAGTGTTATCCATGAGAGAATCTGCAAATTCTTCCAGTTCCGGAGAAGGAAGAATTTTGGAGTTGTTGACAAATTCCTTAAGAATGTCACATTGCTGAAATAAAAAGAAACAAGAAGTGGAGCTGTCATCCACTTAAATTGCCCATTTTAACCTTATAGTAAACTGGAGAGAACATGATTAATCCATTTTACTATAGATCATTCTCAAGTGGTTTTAACATAAAAGCTCTTGGAACAAGTAAAAACATGATGGTGTTATTCTGCCCCAGTGTTACTTCTATTAGTTCCGGAGAAGGAAGAATTTTGGAGTTGTTGACAAATTCCTTAAGAATGTCACATTGCTGAAATAAAAAGAAACAAGAAGTGGAGCTGTCATCCACTTAAATTGCCCATTCTAACCTTATAGTAAACTGGACAGAACATGATTACTCCATTTTACTATAGATCATTCTCAAGTGGTTTTAACATAAAAGCTCTTGGAACATGTAAAAACATGATGGTGTTATTCTGCCCCAGTGTTACTTCTATTGACAATATCTCAAAAACAAAAGAAAAGGACCCCTCCAACTGCTCAAACAACTACAACACAAAATTTATTTGCAGGCTATTTATTTA